TTGCCGGACACGAAAAAAGACAAAAAGGGAAAAAATTCATGGCAAGATTCATGTCTTCTTTTAATTCCAATTTTCCAATTTTTCCTCATATTTACATATATACAGTAAAGTCTTTTGATGAGATTATTGGTCATTTTTTACCTGTTAGGTTTTTTCAATATTTTTCAAATTAAAACAGTTTTTAAATTACAGAGGTCAGCCCTGTGAAGACAGATTTTGACCTGTTTTGTTCACTGCCATAAAATTCAGTGCCTAGAGAGTTATCTTGCACATAGTGGGAGCTTAGTAAGGATTTGTTCTATGCGTCTTAAACACGTTACATATATCTTTACTGCAGATCAGAGGATTTATTGGGACACAGAGTATGCATAAGTACAAGAGTCCAGCTGTGTCTGGTTTTGAAGATGAGCCTTGGCTGGGCAATTTTCTGTGAATTCATCTCCCAGCTTTGTCCTCAGCCCCATGGCTACCAGAGAAATCCATGCTTTCTGTCTAGCTCCATGCTATCTTTACAGAATCTCGTTGAGATGTCCTGGGCTCCCAGGACACCTGGGAAAGTGCTAGACCTGTTCTGGTCCTGGGTTCCTGTTCCAAGTCTGATCTGGGCTGCGTATCTGGGCTCTCTGCCTGGGTTTCGGGGTCCTTCTGGCCCCATACTTCACCCCAGTGCCCCTCTCTCCTGCTCTGATACACATGTGCTGACTCTCAGAGCCACTTGTGTTTCCCCTGCTAGCACTAGAAGCATCTCTTATTCAATCTTTATCCATTACCTCTTTAGGAAAATGTGTCAGTCTTGGATCAGATGCAGAAAGCAGACACCACTCTAGTCATTTTAGAATGTAATTTAATACAACGAATTAGGTCCATATAAAATCTCTGGAAGAGCCAGAGAAATGGGATCTAGACTGGACCTCCAGAAATGAGTCTCAGAGCATCACCACAGAGCTGACTCTCCAGGGGAACCAGGACCTCTGCCACAGTCAGGAAAGCGGAGGCAATGGGGATCAAGAGGCTGGCGGGGAAGCTCTTGACTCAAAGAACACACTGCAAAGCTGGAGGCAGCATCTGTGTTTGCTCACCATGGTATCTGCAGAGTCTACTTGGTGCACGTGCCACCTTGTGGGTGGGTGGATAGATGGATCATGGACTGCGGATCTTATCCAAAATGGCACTTCTTATGTTCTTAATTCTTAGAGGGAGGTTAGTCCGGAGGTTAAAAGAACAGATTTTAGAATCAGAGCATCTAGGTTCATAGCCCAGCTGTGCCCCCTACTAACTGTGTGACCTTCAGCAAGTTATTTTCCCTCTCTGTGCCTGGTTCCTTCTCTGTAAGAAGGAGTTAATAATAGCAGCTCCCTCATAAAGATGCTTTAATGATTTGGTGAGTTAATACCTATAAAACTTATAGAACAGTGTCTGACACATAGCCAGTACTATGTAAGTATTTGCTATAACAGCCATAGTAAGAGTAAAGAACAAAAAGAGACCTTCTCTTTGTTCTCTTTTGCAGCATTTCATCCTTTGCTTTGTTAGGATGTGGGCTACACAGAATGGGTGTTCTTCTAAAGCTGAGTGTCCTGTTAGCTGCTGTATATGGTGAGAGGCTTATTGCCAATACCTGTTTGACGGAAAAGTTTATGTTTGTTGGTTGACTCTGCGGACTGGAAGCCTAAGCCCCAAGTTGTGCCTGGGTGGGCAGTCTTCTTACCCTTCTGTTTC